TACATACCGATCACATAGCGGTGAAAATCACTTAGATTGGTGTCATATAAAGTATATCTTCCATACCTCTGATTGTTTAGATGCGATTTTTTATATAAGTATGTAACTCCTCTATCGATGTATGCAGATGTATTCAAAAGCAGTTATCTGTCAAAGTAAAATTTGCAGATGTTCATGAAAGGTATGAAGCCTTCGGCATAGCCGAAGACAGCGCTGCTCTTACTTGTTAGTAGTTTACAAATGTGTAGGACTGACTTGAGGTTCATATTGAGCACTGATATACATAGGTGCAGCAATATTATAGACAAACCAAGTCATAAAAAACAACGGTGATCCTTTGTTTGAACCGCAAGAACAAATGTACCAATGGAATTGCGAGAATGTAATTAATATTTATACTAAATACCTGTACAGTACACAATACTCATATCTGTTGTTGTGCTTCCGTGTTCTTTACCTTTAAGATTGTACACAGAACACTATATTTTGTACTGGGGGCTCCTTAGGCCGGCAGCAGTCCAGGCAGAGTTACCAACTATTCACTGAGTGCATTTAGCTTCCTGCGCACTTATCCGGAGAGCTGTAGCTATTGTTGCACCTCCTTGTTCCTAGTAGGCTTTTGTACGCCTGAGCAGGATTCACTTAATAATTTAAGCTGGAAAACTACACTATTTTGAACTAAGAGTTTTACAAATCACCCGCGTCCACTGCATTCGGTTTTAAGTTAAACACAAGCTAATATTTTTAGATTTAATTAATATTTGCTTTATTTGCTTTAAATTGCTCCGCGCGACCGCTTGGTTTCTAAGTCCGATTCGAATTGAATTTACATTCGTTTTATTTTACTACTTGTAGGTATATGTGGAACGTAAGCTCGCTTGTATATGGGATATGCCCATGGTGTAATAATAACAAGGTGTTGTCAGTAACTTAACCTCACTTTTTCGGCAGGTCTATTCCGGTCACGCATTTTAAAGTAGTAGAAAAAGTACTAACTATTTACTACTTTTAATCCGTTCGTGCATACTATTTCAAATTAAATGTAGAAAAATGTTTAATTACAGGCTTATAAGCCTGAATATATGTTTGTATCGTAAGCTCCACACAGGTTGCACATATATTGTAACTTATAAAAAAGTGCAGGCCGTAAAATAAGGCAATTTCCTATAAAACTGTAAATGATTTTTTAAATAGATTAGTAATAATAATACTAGATTGGCGCTTACACATATGTTAGTGTTTGACCGAGCTTCTCCTCCGACTTGTGGCGTGCGCCTTGATGTTGTCACACAAAGCGGAGGGACCTACAGTTTTACGCCGACTCCGAACGGCGATTGCATTTTTATGAGAAGCCTTCATGGCAGTAATACACTCGGAGGTTTGCCATTGCCTGCCGAGGGACGACCGCTGTTAAGAAAAAACCTTTTTTCTATATTTTTTGCGATGTTGCTTTGACCAGGGCTTGAACCCAGATGATGCGGAGTGGAGCGCGTGCTGCTTACCACTACGCCACAGCGGCTGGCATGCGAGTGTCGATGGCAGTAGAATAGAAATTTGTCGATCGAGTCGATCATCTTTTATTTTGCTATTGTGTAACTTGATCGATAAAAATTTGTACTATTGTGAATGGTGACGGAATTGTAAACAGCTGTTTGTTTGTTTACATTTGTTTCTTTAATGTTTCATTTACATAATTTTTAAAATAATTGCTTTTATTATAAAATTTAAAAAATGGACACAGTTGAAATATGGTTTAGTGATGAGGAAGATGATGTGGGAGCTAATAGATTAGTAGAGTTGGCTAAAGCATGGAGGGAATTGCGAGATTCGTCGGATCCCATGGAGTTGGAAGATGAAGTGTATGTAACGGGTGATTTTTTTGAGGTTAGGATTTTCATGCATTAGTATTTGACAGATCACGTGGGATTTCAGACATGGTGTCAAAGAGAAAGATGCTCAGTATGCTTTGACATTTCATCATGAATAGACTTACTAA